AAAAAAATGTAAACTTTTCAAAAATTCGGCCAAATTCTGCCAAATTTAGTTTGGCCGTGGCTTTTCAAATGCTACGGCCAGGCAAATTTTTATACGGCCAGATTTGAGGAATCTGGCCGTCAAAAAGGCCAAATGGCAACCCTGGAATGGTTGTAGGACTAGACTATTTTTTCAAGATATTCCCCGAGTTAGTATTCCGCCTTTTTATATGAATGTTATGATCCCTGGCTAATAAGGCCCCATAAAAAAAATTAATAGTTTATCACCCGCTCCCTCATCACTTTTTCGGAAAAATCTGATTTTTTTTTTTTTTTTTTTCAATCAACATTTTAAATCAAAGGTCGCCTTTCCATCTTTTTTCACTTGAAAAGCTCAGGGTTTCTTGCAAATATGTTTACTGGTACAACAAAAACATTTTTTAAATATAAATTTGATTCCATTCTTATGACTTTTTATATGTGTCTCTAACCATTGATTTACTTGTGATAATCGGTAAAATGGGGGCGGGATTAGCAAAAAAAACCCCCCAAAAACCTCCCTCCCTCATCAGTTTTTATTTTTGATGGTGATAAACTAATACTTTTTTTTATGGGGCCTAAGTAAGACCTTGCTTGAATGAATGGTTATCAGCAGAGGGGTGTAGGGAGGCCCAATTATATTTAATAGCTGACCAAAACCTTACCAAAAACAGGGCCGTCGGAACTGCACCGGCCTTGGCCGGACAACTTTTTCTCAATCCTATCACAGGTCTCCTTCCATACCACTAATTAAAAATCGAAACCGTCTTCATGTATAAGAAATATTAAGAAACGAATACCATATGTATGTACTTTAGAAACCATTCTACGGGAAACTTGGAACTCATGGGTAATAATGTGGTCTTTAGATTTCTCTATTTAGATGGAAATACATTAAATGTTTTAAAATGGTTGTACAGTAACTACATGTTCTTATTTATTCTTAATTAAACATTTCTTAGTAGCCAGACATGAACTTGTCTTTCCATTAAAATATTACTAACATTGCCACTCATTATCTTCATTCAATAGAAAAAAAAACGTTATACACAAAACAGTGCATTGGCTAATATATCTACGTGTATAAGTAATATAACACAATTTATTGTATTGCCGTGTACATTTCAACTTTATTGACAATCCTTAATTTCAACCATGGTGAAAAAATGTGATGCACCCCACCACCCACCCACGCCCACTTATTAAAGTGGGCGGACCACTTGCAAAATGCTTCCGATGGCTATGAAAAACAATGGTAAGTTGTATATATGAGACTTAATCTATTCCGGGTGTTGCAACCCGTACCCCAACCAATCTTTACACACATCAACCCGAACCACCTTGGCTAACCCGTACACAAATTTTGGCCGACCCGTACCCATCTTTGGCTAACACGACACACGTCATTTTGGCAAACCCAGGGGCGGATCCAGGGGGATAGGGTCATGAACCCCCCCCCCAAATAAAAAGAGAAAGAGAGAGAGAGAGAAAGAAATAAAAAAAGAGAAAAAGAGGGTCATGACCCCCCCCCCAAATAAAAAGAGAAAGAGAGAGATAGAGAGAGAGAAAGAAATAAAAAAGAGAAAAAGATAATAGCTAGGCCTATTTATTAATTACTACAGTACTTGACTTGGTGTTGGTTTGTGTTGATTACGCTGGCATAAGGCTCGTGGTGCGCTGCCATTAGCGCGCATGTGTAGATTCTTCCAAATTGGGACCCCTTTGAATTAGACACCAAAAGACCACCATGCACAGGACTTGACTACAGGGAAATAGTTTTAGCATTAATAATAATAATAACATCTTACAGTAACTGTAGGCCCTACACCCATTCAAACATCTTACATTTACTGGATATCATTCTTAATTCCCCTCTAAATACTATAGAGATATTAAAGACTACTTTTAAAGCCAGTCTTTAATTATATTGATTCAAATTAGAGACCAAGCGGCTGCTAAAGACCACTAAAACCCTGGTCCCAAAAAGGATTTTTAATTGGTGGTATGGAGGGAGACCTGTGA